TCCTGTTACCCACAGAATTTTCACTGACTAGTTTCTGGAAGTTGATTGACAGGAATACTGTGCCAAGATAATATGATAAATTGATAGACAACTGGTAGCTATAACTAAAGGTATTAAGTAAGTAAGACCCATTTCTAACTCTGTTTTTAAGATTCTGCAAGTTAGTACAAATAGTTTTTAAGCTTTATTTTAATGCAAGAAGACTCACAGGCTTTTCAATGATTTAAAATCAGCACATACATACAGCAAATGGAAGTGACTGTGATGAATAATTTGTTATGAGTAGTGGTGGGTTCGATTCTTTCAAAGTGAGAGCAAATTTGTATAAGGGCAAGTAGGGAATCTGTAAGTTGGACATTTATAACAAGGGACTGTTTATACTCTTCCCTAAGCAAAAATTGAAGAAATTCTTCCTGAAAGTTAATACCAAAATGTGTTCTTAATCTTATCCCATCAGTGGATGAAAATAAGTCAGAAACCTAGGCATTATCTTTCCCATCTCCCTTACCCTTCATTCCCACACATTAAATCAATAATATGTCTTAGTAAAGTACACATTTAATATCTGAAAACTATTCTTCAAAACAGTATTAATTACTCCAGCAAAAATAGCAAAGTTCAACAGGGCAGCAAACAACAAATGCTGGGGGTGGGGGGTGGGGCTGTAGAGAGATTGGAACTCTTATTCACTGTTCGAGGGAATGTAAAAATGGTACAGCCACAATGGAAGGTGCTTTCCCAAAAAGTTGGGAACAAATACCATTTGACCCACTGATTCCCCTACCAGGAATATACTCTAAAGAAACTAGAGCCACAACTTAAAACCACTTTATATACACTGATGTTTACTGTGGCATTAATCACAATAGCAAAGAGATGAAAGCAACCTAAGTGTCCCTCAACAAATGAATGGATAGAAAAACTATGGTCCATTCACACAGTGGAATATTATGCAGCACTGAAAAACAATGAACTCGTAAAACATTACACAACATGGGAAGCCTGGAAGACATTATTCTCAGACACGAAAGGAAAATTACTACATAACACTGCTGTTATAAAATAGGATGGGGTGGAGAAGGTTGGGAAAGGAGTGAAGAGATAATGAACACTGCAGTAGAACAGATGAGGGGAAGAACTGTCTGAAAGGAATATATGATTAGGCATTATATATACGTATGACAATAATCTGGAACAAAGAATGCATTGCAGAGTGTGCTGGTAGAGGAGCAAGGGATGAAGGAAGAAAATGTGCAACCATAAACTAAAAAAACACCACCCCAAAATAGCATTATTACTTTGTTTCTGACCACCTAATTTCTCTTAGAAGAAACACATTCCTAAACCAGTTTTTTCTGATTCTGTGATAGCTTTAAAACAGTAATTTTTGCACTTTTGACATTTGGGCTAGATAATTCTTTGTTATGGGACAGTCATGCGCACTGTATGATGTTTAACATCTCTGGCCTCTATTCACTAAACATTAGCAGTAATCGCCTCAGGCCACCATGTTTTTGTTGTGTGCCACTCAGTTGGAACCTATCCATAGCTGACCCTCTAGTGGGTTTTCAGAGGTAATAAATAGCACAGGAGGAGATAGCCAATCCTTCTGTGGAGCAGCTGGTGGTTTTGAACTGTGTGCCTTCAAGATTGCAGCACAGATCCTGACCATATCTGGTAATCTTGAATTCTGAATGTATTGGTTTTTTAACTAACCTTAAAGAAGTCTATCACAACACATTTGCTAAATGCAACATATTTCATTTCCTGACTACAGCTGTCTATGAGTGCTTAATGTTAATTCAAGTAGAAGAAAACCATGAATAACATCAAATTTCTTCATTTATCATAGTGTAGTTCATTGGTTTGGCTTTAAGGCTTTTTCTTTCCTTGACTTTCAAGCATAATCCACACTCAAGGCTGAATTTTATCACTTTCATCAGTAAGTGCTTCAGGTCACCTTCATTGTCAGCAAGTTAGGTGACAGGATACAACCCTGACATATTCTGACCCTGCAGTATCCTCTTGTTCTTGTCTGAGTAGCAATCTTTGGTCCACACACAAGTTCCATGTGAGCACACATTAGATAAGTGTATAGGAATTCCTAGTCTTGGATAACAACTGTTATACATAATTTGATTTGAATCAGATACTTCCACCAAAATCAGCATTCTGTTACTCTCTGCTTTTAATAAGGATCTATCAAAAAATAGCACTAATTTCCATTTATACCATAACCTCTTCTGAATCCAGCTTGTACTTCTGAAAGGTCCCTCCATTCACCGTCATTTACCTGGAAGCAAAATCACTCACCAATTCCATTACTTTCTTGTTTAAACTTCCACACTCTGCACTGTTCCCAGGAAAAAAATGTCAAATCTCTTAGTTTGGCCTCACATGGTCTGAACTCTCCTGATCATCTGACTTCAACTCTGAATCCATATAACTTACTTCAGGTTGTTGAAGAAAAGCATTACAATCAACCAAGTGAATCTACTATGAACTTGAGAATGCTCTGCTTCTTAATTAAAAGAATCCTCTTACCAGTTTTACTAATTTCCCGTTTTCTTAGAAATCTCTCAATGTTATGGGTTCCTTTTTGTATTCACACTTTGGCCTACACTGCTTCTGTTACCTTTAAGGCCTTGCCCCTCTCCTACATCTGTGTAACTGAAGTTATGCCTGCTTTAGGAAGAACTCCTTGGATTTCCTCACTGTACAACACATACTTTCTAATTTTATTTGCAAGGGTGGACTCCTTGTCAAAGTTGTCGTGCTATATACTATTATATCTCCATGCCCCAAAGAATATCTGGTACAAAGTAGGCAGTGAAGCATATTTACTGAGAGGGAAGAAGGGAGTAATAGCACAGACAATGTATAAACTGATACCCTGTGGACTCAGGTGGGCCTGACTGCTTATATAGTGAGTCCTAAGTTACATGACAATGATGTTGACTAGATTTTTTTCTTCAGGAAGATTTTAAAATGACAGGCTGCCCTTACAATAAGATTTAGTATTGTCTACTGTCAAAGCAGGTAGCAGGTTCATTTATGATCACAGATTTCTAGACATAAAGTCATGAAGGATATCACCAAAGGAAAACAGTTTCCAATAAAATTCTTAGTATAAATTGTTTTAGGATTCACTGGTATATTCTTACCAGTAGGGTTTAATTCAGGTTTCAAATTATTGAGAATTCTAATACAAACAACACTTCAGAAGCCAGAATAAGAGTAACGGATTACATTTTTGTAAACTAATTTTATAAAAACATTCTTTATTCTTTGTGAGACCAAAAAAAGGACAGAGGCCCTTATCCTTTCCTACAAGAGAATCATCTAAATTGGAATTGAATAAACCTTCTAAATTCAGATAAACTCAGTCATTGTAAGAAGAATTAGTTTCAGCTAAGGATTCAAGACTATAAAGAATTCAAGCTGAAAGCCTCTTATTTTACTATAAACTATTCTGAGACTCAAATCTACTATGAACTCAAGCCACATTAACTGACTTACCAGAGCATGAAGGGATTTCATGTACTGTTACCAAGAAAAGTCAGTCTAATTCTCAAGCTTATGGAAATGAAATAAGTTAAGGTCTGAGATTTGCTTTAAAATACTTCAGCAACAATAATGACAAAAAAGGGGATAGATGAGGTGTGACAAGCTCTGATAAATATTGAATCAAGCCCATGGAGGTTCATTGTATTACTCTATTTTTGTGTCTATTTGAAATTTTTCTAAACTTAAAAAATGAAAGTCTGCTGATACTGAGAAAAATATTAGAAATCAAGTCATTAAAAATACTAATAAAATATTTCTGAGCACTCTTTAAGTAATATTTATTATAAACAATAATATAGCACAGTAAATTGAGTAGGACAATTTCTTGACAATTTCTGTAATGGGATTTATTTTTAGACTAAAGACGCACTAAGCAATTTAATGAGCCACTCCCAGCCTATATCAAGTGATGAATTGCAATTTTAAATCTTACAACATAAACCCTGGGCTAAGCAGAAAATCTGGAGGTAAATGCTAAAGTGTCCTCCAAAACAATACTAGCAAATAAACATAAGCAAAGTAATGCAAGTATTAAAAAACCAAAAACTATTCCACAATGCTTTCAGAACTTCTAATTCAATACAAACAGCTGAACTAACAAAGTTGATCAATCAACTGAATGGCTCCCCAGATTCCAGTTAAACAGGACAGCAGTTATAAATGTTGGAGAGGAACTGTTATACATGGTTGGTGGGATTGTAAAATAGGACAACCACTCTGGAAGTTTGACGCCTCCTCAGAAAGCTGAATATAGAAATGACCCAGCTATTTCACTGCTTAGAATATACCCCAACAAAATGAGAACTGAGGCACAACAGAGACTTGAACACCAATGTTCACAGCAGCATTATTCACCATTGCAAGAACATAGAAACAGCCCAAACGTCCAACCACAATCAAATACATTCAAACAACGAAACACTACATAGTAGCATGCAGGAGCAATGATTCTGTAAGTTACTACCTAATTTGGGAGGGAATGGAGTGTTATGCTGAGTGAGCTGACTCAGTCCCTTAAAGGCAAATACTGTTTAAGACCATTATTAAAGAATGTGTATGAAGACCCAAGGAGGGGGGAGAGTGGAACAGAGAGGTGAGAATGGGCAGGGGTGGAGGGCTAGTTATAGGGTCACACAATTTGATGGGTGGAGGAAAAGGTGGGTAAAGGAAATGGTAAAGATAAAGATCCTGTGTGAAAAACAATGTATACAAACTGTTGTTGTGTATTGTCAAGTCTAGACTGATCCATAGCTGACTCTCCAGCAGGCTTTCAGAGGCAGTTAATCACACAGAAGGAGACTGCCCACCCTTCTCCTGTGGAGCAGCTGATGGCCTTGAAGTGCATGCCTTCAGGATTGCAATACAGCTTCTTGCCAAAATTTTCTTTACATTTTTTTTAAAAGTCTGAGGATTCAGACTAGAAACTGTCTCACCTGCAAAAGAACTCCCACAAGTCTAAATTTTGAATTCTCTGAATTCTTTCAATTCGGTTGCGATCCATTGTTTTCCCAAAGAGATTAGCAACTTCATTATATTCATGTGTCTGACTGTGCAAAGGAATGAGCTGGAAAAAGAAATTTGCATAATTTCATTGGGGTCCTTTCTGATCTCTTCCAGATTACACACTTAGTCATGTCTGGTCTTACCTGATATGGGACTTCGGAATTCACGTTCTCCCAGTGTAGTGGCATAGGAATAGACTCATTTTCACAAATATAACTTTAAAAAGCAAAAGACAAAACAAATATCAGAGGTTGATTATAACTGTTATCTAGGATTAGACCTTTCTCAAAACCAGATTTTTCATGTTCAGAATATTTTAACAAAGGTAACCAAGAAGCGTAGCCTTTTACACCTTTATTTAACAATATTTACTGAATAACCATTATATGTTACTCTTTAAGCAATGGATTGAGAATTTTGATGGAAAATACCTATCCCTACATACCATGAATATTTCTAAATCAGTTTATCGTGCTTTCCAGAATTTCCTTAAAATAAAAGATTTTAGGTAAATGAAAAAGAAAAGAATTTTCAAGAAGAAACACAAAATCCTGATTTTACAAAACTTTTCAATATACTTATATTATCTTTTGAGCTCTGGTAACAAGGAGGTGCATTGCCAACTCAAAGGCATGGGTTCAAAACCACCAGCAACTCTCCGGGAGAATGATAGGCAATCTCTTCGTGTGTGATTTACAGTTCTGAAAACCCACAGCAAGACCAGTTATGAGTTGATTCCAACTCAACAGCAGTAACTTTGACTTTTTGACTACTGAATTAAAACAAATTCAAGCTCAATAACAACATGTTCAACGTCCTCTAAGAGCTAACTTAAACGGAAACCTTTGTTTGTTGCCCTCTGCTGTCCTAGGAAGAATTCCAGAGTACTGTAAATTTTGTGCTGCGCTGCTCACAGAAATGTTGGCAGCTCAACTTCACCAAGAAAAGCTTGGCTGGCTATTGTAAATGGTATTGATTTATTCGTTTCCTCTCTGTGTTGTGTTTTGGGGTTTTTTTTTGTTTTGTTTGGTTTTACTATACAGGAATCCTATTGATTTTTGTATATTGATCTTATCTCCTGCCACTCTGCTGAACTGTACTTTGTTGACTCCTTGGTTCTGTGTACACTATCACATTATCGCATTTAACAAAAGTTTTATCACCTCTTTGCCAATCTGATGTTCCTAATTTTCTTGTTGTATTGCCCTAGCAAGTACTTCCAATACAGTATTGAATAGAAGTGGTAAAAGTGGACGTCGTTGGCTCCTGTTCACAAGGGGAATGACTTTAGTCTTTCTCCATTAAAATTACATTAGCTTCTGGTTTTATATATACAGTTTTCACTACACTCCCTCGGAGCAGCTGGTGGCCTTGAACCCTGTGCCTTTAGGATTGCAGCACAGCTTCTTGCCACTAGGCTACCAAAGCTCCAAAGAGTAGAGTGGCAAGCAAATGTTTCACTATAGGGTATTAAGGGTAGGTGTGTCTGAGGCTGTAAGATTGCCTCAGGATAGGGCAGGGTTCAGAGCTACTGTGTTTATGGTTGCTGTGAATCACAGAGGACTGAGGGCACATAACATCACCAACAACATACTTTTATAAGTCTATTCGTTTCTGACCCGGTAGATTTGAATTTTGTTTCTTTGGGTTACAAGCACAACTCCTTGCCCTTAAGCCACCAGAAGTCCTTACAGAACAGGACTGTTACATCTTTTTCCGATCAAATAGCTAGCTGTTCAAACCACTGGCCTTTTGACTGACAGACAAGCACTTAACCATTGCACAACCAGAACTCCTTTGTACATAGCTGTTGTTGGGTACTGAAGAATCAGAACTGACCCATAGCTGACCCTTCAGCATATTTTCAGAGGCAGTTAATTGCATGGGAGGGAGAAGAACTGGCAATCTCCTCTGTTGTGGTTAACTGCCACTGAAAAACCACAGGAAAGTCAGCTATGGGTCAATTCTGACTCTATGGTCCACCACCACCACCACCACTTGCTGGTCTGTCCTTTGTCCCAACAAGTAATCACTACTTTTTAGTCCCTTTAGTACTTCTATAGAACATCTTTTCTTTCCTACACAAATGGTACAAAAAATCCACACTTTTTTGAACCTGATTAGTTTTTATCCACTTAGTATACTTTTAGAGGTCTTCTACATCAGTCATAAAGAGTATCCTTATTTCCATTCTCTGCAATGCATCCTGGCACAGTGGTAGACATTAAATAGTTGGTGAATAAATGTATATATTCTCATTCATAAATACATAGAATTCCATAGTAGGGATATACCATGATTTCTTTAACTAGTTCAACTGATGATAAAGAATCAGAAAAAAATCCAGAAAGCTGGACAACAACTAGGGATTATAGAAAGAGAATTTATGCCTTTGAGCTGTGGTGCTGGAATATTGAATATACCACGGACTGCTAGGAGAACAAACAGGTTCATCCTGGAGAGGGTGAAAATAAGCTGCTCCTTGGAGGTAAGGTTTCTGAAGCTTTGTCTGACATACTTTGGTCATTTACAAGGAGTGACCAGTCTTTGGTGATGCTACAAGGAATGACCAGTCTTTGGGGAGAGATATCATGCTTGGGAGGGTGGAGGGACAGTACAAGAGAGGAAGACCCTTGATGAGATGGATTTATTCAGTAACTGGGGTAATGGACGTAGTTGTGTCAGAGACAATAAGGTTGGCATAGAACAGAGCAGGGTTGAGCGCTGTTGTACATAACAACTGGTGATAAACTTAGTGGTAAAGAGTTATGCTTCCAACCCAAAGGCATGTGGTTCAAATCCTCCAGCTGCTCCACAGGAGAAACATGGGTCATCTCCTCCCATGTAATTTACTGCCTCTGAAAACTTACTGGAGGGTGAGCTATGAGTGGGTTCCCAGTGAACAGCACACACAGTGACAACTGATGATATCGGGAGCTCTAGTGGCCTAGAGGTAAGGACTTGTGCTTCCAACCCAGAGCCTGTGCTGCAAACACAAAGACTGCCTCTCTGCTGGTCTGAATTTTCCAGCTGCTCTGTGAGAGAAAGATGGGCAGTCTCCTTCTGTGATATTTACAGCCTCAGAAAACTCACTCCGATATTTACAGCCTCAGAAAACTCACTCCAGGGTCACCTATCAGTTGGTTCTGTCTTGAAGGCAAGGAATCTGAGTTTTGAATGTTGAGTGACTGATGATACTGTGAGCTCTAGTGACTTAGTCCGTACGAAGCTGTGTTGCTAACTCAAAGGTCATGTCTCTCTGGCAGTTTGGATCCACCAGTGGCTCCGGAGGAAAAAAGATGTGCATTCTCCTCCCATGTGCTTTACTGCCTTGGAAACCCAGTGGAGGATTAGCTATGAGTCAGTTCCAACTCAAGAGCAATGAGTATAAAACTGATGACATGGTGTTCTGGTGGTATAGTCAGTAGTAAGTTGAACTGTTGTTGTTATGTGCCGTCGAGTTGTTTGTGACACATAGTGACCCTATGTACAAGAGCCCTAAACCCAGCACTATCCTGTGCCAACCTCACTCTCTCTGACATACCCACCGCCATTATGCCAGTTACTGAATCGATCCATGTCATTGAGGGTCTTCCTTTCTTGCACTGTTCCTCCACCCTCCCAAACATGATGTCCCTCTCTAAGGATTAGTACCTCCTTGTAACATGTCCAAAGTATGTCAGATGAAGCTTCAGAATCCTTGCCTCCAAGGAGCAGCCTAGTTTCACACTCTCCAGGACAAACCTGTTTGTTCTCCTGGAAGTCCATGGTATGTATATTCAACACTCTTCCCCAGCACCACAGCTCAAAGGCATTAATTCTCTATCATTCCTAGTCATTGTCCAGCTCTCTGATGCATAGAAAGCAATTGCGAAGACTGTGGCTGGATCAAGCGCACCTTAGTTTCCAGACTGATATCATTGCTCTTCAGTACTCTGGAGAGGTCCCTGACAGCTGGCTTTCCCAATGCAATTTGTCTCTTGATTTCCTGGCTACTGGTACCAAGAGTGTTGATTGTGAAGCCAAGTAAACTGAAACTGTTAACAATCTCAATCTCTTCACCATCCATAATGATGCTGCCAATTGGCCCAGTGGTGAGAATCTTTGTTTTCTTGATGTTGAGCTTCAATCCATATTGAAGGTTGCAGTCTTTGACCTTCTGCAATAAGCACTTTAGGTCCTCCTCAGTTTCAGCAAGCAGGGTTGTGTCATCTGCATAACGCAGGGTGCTGATGAATCTTCCTCTAATTCTGATGCCACATTCCTCCTTGTACAGTCCAGTGTCTCGAATGATCTGTTCTGCAAATAGATTGAAAAGGTATGGAGACAGAATACATCCCTGGCGGACATCCTTCCTGATTTTGAACCATGTAGTGTCACCTTGCTCTGTTCTGATGGCTGCCTCTTGGTTCAAGCATAGGTTTTGCATAAGCACAAGCAAATGTTCTATGTCCTGGGATTCCCATTCATCTCAGAGTCAGCCATAGTTTGTTGTGATCCACAGTCAAAAACCTTTGCACGCTCAATGAAACAAAGATAGATATTCCTCTGGTACTCTCTGCTTTATGCCAAGATCCATTTAATATTAGCTATAATATTCCTAGTACCATGACCTTGTCCAAACCCAGCCTCTACAGCTGGAAATTCTCTGTTGACATGCTGTTCCAGTCATTTTTGGATAATTTTCAGCAGAATCTTGCTTGCATGTGATATTAATGATATTGTTCGATAATTTCCATACTGTGTCAGGTTACCTTTCTTAGGAATGTGAATAAATATCTATCTCTTCCAGTCAGTTGGCTAGGTGGCTGTCCTCTAGATTTCTTGGTACAACTTAGTGAGCACATCCAGGGCTGTATCTGTTGAAATATGTCAATTGGTATGCCCTCAATTCCTGGAGCCTTAGTATTTTGCCAATTCTTTCAGAACATCTTAAACTTCTTCCTTCATCACCACAGGCTCTTGCTCATTGTTTCATGAAATTCATCTTTGTCAGCCAATTCCTTCTGGTATAATACTAACCCAAAACCTGCATGTCTCCCACTGTTTGAATCCACCGGTCACCTTGCAGAAGAAAGATGCGCAGGCTCCTCTATTTTAATCTACTTAAGAGGAGAGGTCACTATGAATTGGGAACTAACTTGATGGTAGTGAGGCTTTTAGTTTATTGATGGTACTGGAGAGCTCTGGTGGAATAGTCAGTAGTAAGCTATACTGCTAACACAAAGACCATGCGTCTCCATTACTACAAATCCACCAGAAGTTCTCAGGGAGAAAGTTGAGCAGTCTCCTCATTGTTATTTACAGCTTTGAAAACTCAATGGAGGGTCACTATAAGATGGAACTGAACTGATTGGACAGCACTGAGTTTATTAATGATAATTAACTTTAGATTTTTGCTACTGTATTAAGAATGCCTCAAGAACAAGTTTGTCTGTCATTTTACATGTCCATCACTCCAACTGAAGGAGCTCCAGTGGCCTAGCAACAAGAAGTTGCATAGCCAACCCGGAGGAATGTGTTTTGAATCCACCAGCTGCTCTACAGGAGAGAGATAGCTAATCTCCTCTTGTGCAATTTAAGGCCTCTGAAAACCCACTGGTTTTCTGACTATGGGTCAGTTCCAACTAGATTATACATAACAAGAGTCAGCGCAACTAGGGAGTTACATAGAGGCATGGATGGTGAAACTTTCTTACATATTTTGATGTTTTCATGAGGGGCCAGTATTTGGAAAAGGATTTAATACTGAGAAAAGGAGAGGGTCAGCAGAAGAGATCATATTTATTCATGATTTTGACAAATGCTGACCAAATTAACTCTATGGAGGTTGTACTCATTGACATCCTCACCAGAAATGTAAAGGATGCTTATTTTCCAACAAGTCCTTTAATAAAGTATGTTACGAAGTTTTTAAATTTCTGTCAATATGAGAATCAAGAAAAAAGCCAAGTATTAATTTCTATTTCTCATATTATAGGTGAAGTTGTATGAACTATCCAAATTCTTTACCTGTCTTTTTCATAGGTTGTTAGTCTTTTGCTTAAAAATTTCTAGAAATACTTCACATACTAAAGAGATTAACTCTTCAACTGTATTGATAAATAAAAATATTTTTCCCAGTCTTGTTTATTTCTACTGTAACTAAAGTATCCTTATGCCAAAAAAGGTTGTTTGTTTTGGGTTTTGTTTTCTTTTTCAATTTCACTCAGAGCCTTAACAAATAGTAAGTTCCCTGTCAATATGAAACATACCTTATTTGCCACACGTAATAAATGCTCACACACAATTGTAGCTGGATTCTGGAGGGTAGGTTTTCTTGCTTTAGTTGAAAGACAGATGTAAACTGGTTGGTTTTTATTTAATTCACAATTGTGTGTGAGCTGATTGGTCATCTGGGTTTACTGGATATAGCTGACAATCAGCTGTGGGCTGGAAGCCTCTAGTTTAAATCAATAAGGTCCTGGTGGGCAGGCCTTTGTATTTAAAAGTCAGATGGGCCTCAGGTTTGTGGCCTTCGGGCCTGGTGTTCATTGTGTTTGAGTTGAACATTCTTCTAAGTGGTATAGCATTGATCTGTCAGTTTGCTGTACTGAGATAACTTGGGGTTGCTGTGATACTGAATGTTGTGCCACTGGTATTTCAATACCATAATAGCTACCCATGGTAGACAGTGTTTGGCAGAGCTCTCAGATTAAGACAGGCTTGGAAGCAGGATTGGCATCCACTCCCTAAACAATATACATTTGGAAATTCCATGAACATTAGAGAAACAACGGTAATTATGGAGTAGGGTTCAGATCTTTTGTTAATAGGGTTGCTATGAGTTATAGTTGACTCAACAGTATTTAACAACAACAACAATAAATGCTGCATTTATAAATCCTCTATCCATATGTAATAAATGCCAGTTTATAAAGTTACATGTAATAAATTATCAATTTATAAATCCTCAACTAACATATACATATGTTGTGTTTGTTGTTGTTGTTAGGTGCCTATAAACTGTGTACAGCTCACAGCAACCCTATGAACAACAGATCTGAACCCTATCCTATCCTGTGCCATCCTCATAATCTCTAACTCACTTGAGTTCGTCACTGTAGTCACTTTGTCAATCCATCTCATTGAGGATCTTCCTCTCTTTTAAAATGACCCTCCACCTTTCCAAGCATTATATCCCATGCCTAACAACACACCCAAAGGGAACATGGCCTAGTGGTAAGAATCTGCATTGTCAACCCAATAGAAAAGGCAAGAAGGAAAAAATAATAAGAAAAAGTCACTAACAGAAAATAAGAACAATGCTATTTCACCAGCAAATGAGAGATTCAATATCTGAAAGATCAATATTAAGACTAAATAACCTACAAAAGCATTTTCAGCTTCTTTTCTTTTTCTCTCAAATAGTAATAAAGGTAGAGAAAAAGAAAACCAAACATCTAGAAATTCTACCTTTCTACCCCTCTTCTCTTTACAATACCTGAATGCACTGATAGAAAAGGGGGCTCTTTTCACTAAGCGCTGTTTTCCAGTGATGAGATTCATTTGCTTCATTTCTGTACACAAAGACAAAGGTATTAGGTAAGCCACAGAAACAGATTGTGCTATAAACTGTCATGAAGATTTGTAGCCACACCACGGGACAATCAGGAGCCATCGAGCTCTGGTAGTAGCTGGCACACATAGTTTATTAGGGATGCCTTACTATATATCTACTTATTATATCATAAAACTAAGTTCTATTCAGGGGAGTGCAGCTTCACTGCTTATTCTAAAATCACACATGAAGATGTTAATCTCACAGACTACTCAGTCTGCATCATTTCTATATCACACTTAAGTGGTTAAACTGACACTAAATGTAAGAGCTCTAACTTTAGGAAAATGAAAATACCAGAAAATCTGTAGTACTAAATATTTTTTGTTAGTTAATTAAGGGGAAAGATATACTCTGATATCTTCATAAAATTTAATAAAAAATAGATACATCATTATTAAATAATTATAAGATACATAATTATTCTAAAACTTAAAAAATTGATGTGCATCTTATCTTTTCTTTAAATTGCATATCTAAACCCAAAAATTAAATAAACATACTTAGGTCCAATACTTATATGAAGGGCTCTAAGGATGACAAATTAACTAGTTAACTAACCAAAGAAATTATTTTATTCTTTTATCCATGTCTCACCCAAAAGAGTATTTGCCAGGTAAATTAGTTCATTTCCAGGAAGCTAACAGTCAATTTCAAGGCAATAGTCTAGGTCATCTATCTTCTCTAAATGATATAATTTCATTCCAAAATAAAAGGCTCTAACCACTTGATAAATGTCTGAAGGGTGTTCTGCCCTTTCTGTATTTCCCTAGATGGTACACACTGATTCTACCACTGTGTGGGGATCAAGTGAAACCTGTGGTGCCTTCTTTTGATATACTTTGTTCTGAGTATATTTTTCACCATATTTATAGGGACCCCCCCCAGCTGAATAGCAACAGAACTGTTGGGGCAAATAATACACATGGAAGACTAACTCCTTAAAACAGTGTCATTAAATAGAGGGCTAGGAAACTTGAGAGATTATATGCAATTCTTGTTGTTTGATAAAAGCATTTCCTAACAAAATTCTGCTGTTCAAGAGAAAGCTTCCAAAAAATGCAATCCATTAGAAAATGTTCTTTCTGATACACCTGGCTTGCTGAATTATCATCCAAATACTTTGACAAAATTTCATCACCTAATGAAATCTGATGTCTGTGTATATCACTGGTTCAGCACTGCTCCCGAAATAGCACTTATACCTAGACTAAGTATGTCTATCAGACACTTTTGGCCCAGGATACAGAAGAAAGATAAATGCCAGGGCCCCTATGGGCAACTAATTTGCCTAATGCCATAGGGAATAAAAAGTTAGGATGATTTTTTTAAAACATGACAATTTTAACTCTTGGAAATTAAAATAGTAAGTGAAGCAACTTTGGTGCAGCCAGCATCATTAGTTACTGGGTTGCATCGGGTTCTTATTGGACACTTCCCTTTACTATGTCTAGACCTTGGCTTATTCAAAGAAATTAATTGTCTAAAGTTTTGTCACCTGACACCTATGATACAAGCCTAGCTCTGTTATAAAGATACCACTCACCAAGGCTAGAAATAAACAGTTAGAACAGAGAGCTGTGTAACAACCAAAATGAATGCTCATGGAGAAAACTTCTCAAACACAAGATGTTTGATTCTAAGCAGCAAATACGTGAAGTAGCACCCTGAAATCCAACAGATTTGCCATGGAATACCAAAAAACATGACACTGTGCAATTTTTATCATGGTGAAATTCCAAATAGAGCAGATTTCCATATAAGCTGGCTCATATGAGACAAAATCAAATGAATAAAAAAACAGGTAAGGTAATGCCATTTAAAGAAAATGTTTTCTGACAAAGGTACCAGGGAAGGGGCATTAGCTAAAATTTGGTCTTAAAACTATCATCACCTACTTAAATGACTTTGACTGTCACACAGCCTTCTCATTTGACACTTAATATACAAAAGTCTTATATCCATGTACTTAAGTAATTAGCCCCAAGGACAAATAGGTGATGCAAACTTCAACTTCTAAGACCTTTAAGAGGAAATAGATAAGTGATGTCTGCCTAACACCTTAGGAGGATCACAGCAGAAGATATTAGAGTTGAGGGAAATATAGAACAAAACTGAAAAAAAACCCCATTTTAAAAGGCCAAGTTTATTGGTCTAACAGAGACTAGTGGAACCCCTAAAGCACTGGCATTAAGTCTTCTTTCAAACCTGGAACAAAGCTCACGCTACTGGCTCAACTTTCAGCCAAACAATAAACAGGCATATTGATGAATAACACCAGGCGGCATTTACTCCTTGGATATCAGAATTACAAGGAGAAAATGGAAAATACTGTGGGTACTGTAATTACTGTTATAAAGTAATTGTAATGCAGGTTTTAGAATTAGTGTTCTTAAACAAAATGTATGAATGATTGAATTAAAAATCAGTATGCCTTGTAAACTTTCACTCAAATAACAATGAAAAAACATTTTAAAGGCTTATATTGATTTCAAAAGATTTACAAAATGATGAACAAAATAAAAGCTATAAAATATTTTGTGTTCCTTAGAAGAGAAGCATTACATATACACAAAATTTATGACAATCTCCACACACATTAGTATCTATCTTTCTCTCAAAGAGTGGTCGGTAGGTTCACTCTATGGACCTTTCAATTAGCAGTGAAGTATGTTAACCATTGTACCACCATGAATCCTATAAACATGCCTCTGAAAGGCAATGTTGTTCAAGGAGATTTTAAATCTTGATTTTTAAGAGAAGCATTCTGTATATTATAAAAAGGATTTACATCAATATTTGCAAATATATCAACCAACTTGGATTCTCAGAATTATAATAGAGATGACCACATTAATTATACTCAAAAAACAAAGCACCTAGTGGAGATAAAAAAAAAAAACCAAAAAACCAAACCATACCTGCAAAGTCTATCTTGTAGCTGAATTTGGAAGTAGTAAAAGAAATGGAGCCATAAGGGTTTGTTTTGAAGCTTTTTTCGATATCTTCACTGCTAACGGAACACTGAATGTTGGTATCCGGCTTTAAGATAAACCAGAAAGTTTCATTTACTAGCTGTTCACATAAGTGGCTTGGCCACATAAGTGATACTGTGGTCACAGAAATCAAGAATGGAAGGACTAAGGACATTAATTAATCTGTTTGAGCTCCTAATACAGAAGAATTACAGCTAAACCAGTATATTAAAAATGGTTTAAGGATTTTCAGCAAAGACGCTTCAATTAACTGGCTCTAGTCACTTTTTCCAAATCATTTTAATTTTTAAAGTCACCTTGCTAAGTGGCTCAAATTAAATCTTCTTTACACAGCCTTGTAAGGTTAAAAAAGCTCAAGTCTTGGAGTATGGCTTCAAATCCTGCTTAATCAATAACTACCTCTGTGTCCCTAGACAAATTTTATTAACTTTTCCAAGTTTTCTTACTCTCCTTGATTATGGCACAGACTGTTAACATCTGTCTCAGAGCTACTGTGAGGATAAGGGAGAAAAGATCAGTATAGCACGTAACATAATACCTGGTATACAAAAGGTGTTAAATATGGGCTTTCACTCTTTCCTTTTTCTTTGTCCCTCTAATCAAATTGGGAGTTACTCAAGTATACTGATAACATGCAACTCTGTCATATCTGCCTTCTGACACAAAACTATTTCTTCTAAACACATACTATTTCTTCTAAATATATATTGAGAAAAAATGGGGGTGGGAGGGAGGAAAGGGGCTAGAATTTCTAACTTTGCTTTTAATTAAGCTGTCTCTGGTGGCCTGGTGGCAAGTAGCTGTGCTGCAATCCTGAAGGCACATGGTTTGAGGCCACCAACTGCTAGATGGGAGATAGATGTGTAATCTCCTCCCAAGCGAGTAATTGCCTCTGAAAAACCTGCTGGAGTGTCAGTTATGGGTCAGTTCTGACTCTACAGTACACAACAACAAAAACATCCTAAAAGTTTGTTTCTTCTCAGGTTGTGCATCCATACAAACAGATTCATCGTAGAGAGGATTAAACCAGGCTGCTCCTTGGAGGCAAGGGTTCTGGGGCTTCATCTGACATACTTTGGACATGTTGTAAGGAGAGACAAGTCTTTAGAGAGGGACATCATGCTGGGCAGAGTAGGGGGACAGCGCAGGAGGGGAAGACCCTCTATGAGGTGGACTGATTCAGTGACTGGGGTAATCAGGATAGGTGTGTCAGAGACAATGAGATTGGCACAGGATACAGCACGGTTTAGGGCTGTTGTACATAGGGTCGCTATGAGTCGCAAACGACTCGACGGCACATAACAACAACAGCCTCAAGTTGGCATTTTGAGCCATACCTTAGCCCCTTCTGGTCTCCAGCTACCATAACTATAGACACATGGCCTTGCAAATCGTCAAGAGCTGTGATACTAGGACAAACGAAAGAGACTTGAGGGAAACTGGAACAAAACTCTGGTGAGAGCAAGATCCTGGTGCATAGACCTTGGTGATGGTGGTGGAGGGACTGTAGCATTGTTGTGGAGAAACTGTGGCAAGGTGTGACCTGAGACTTCTTGCATCTGCTCTTGGCCACAGATAAAGTTTTATTGTTCTTGCAAGATGCTTGAAGGAGAAGCTGATTTATAACTAATTGCCCTGAGGCAAACCTTGCTGGATGACTGAGGAAACTAGAGGATTCATGAATTTGTTTTGCTGAACTGAAACCAGGACTTTAACTAATTAAAGAATTGTGTTTTGCTGTTAACCTGGCTTGGGACTACAGGACTAAACCTGCAAGTGTATTGTGAAATATCCTTTGCCTTGCCTACTTCTCAACATATTTCCATAATAAACCACAACAGTGAGAAAAGTCTCTGAGTCACCAAGGAATAAATGAGCCCGTTACTGCTGGGATGGTTACAGAGGCACTATGGGGCTGAGCTACAGGCTCTTTATCTGCTTTCTGCCCTGGGCCAGTGAGGAGCTATCCTATTTTCACTCCCTCTGGCCCTTTCAGAGAGACGACCATGGCCCTGTGCCCCCATATCTCATTTACTGCTCTTTAGGCAATTTTACACATCAACAAGATGATGCTAAGTGAAGTGCAGATACCTGGATCATGTGCCACTTCCCACACTCTGCCAAGTAAAACCAGCCCCACTGGGTATCTGATGTGTCCATCTCATCATTCTCACTATCTGTTGCTTTGGGTAGAAATTCTTCTGTTTTGTGAAACATCTCCTGAAATGACAAAAAGAGGAGGCGGAATAACAATGCACTCTTTACAGACCACTTTTCTTCTTCAAAAAGTACTAGATTCCAGCTATCTTTTCCACAGTGAAACTTTAAAAGTAACACACTTCTTGCATATTGGCTCTATAATAAATATTTCAAAGTATTAAATATAATTGTTTAAGATGCATCAGGCAAGTTATAACACACTTAAGTCAACCAGTACCTTCAAGATGATTCTGACTCCTATAGAACAGAGCAGAAATTTCCCAAAAGTTTTCCAAGGCTTTCAATCTTTACTGAAACAAACTGTCACCTTTCTCCTATGAGGTAGCTGGTTGGTTCAAACCACTGACTGACGTTTTGGTTATCAGCACAACACTTAATCCACTGCACCACCTGAGCACCTTCAAATATACTTAAGTACAATACATCAATTTCCATACAATCTTTCAAGTAAATGATAACAACATCTACACTCAAACCCAATGCTGTTGAGTTGTTCCTAACTCATCAGCACCTGTAAGGAATTTAAATTCTCAGTGTAGCGCTAAGATATTTCTTAGAGTTCCTATGTTTGGTCAAAAGATTCATGCTATACTAGTTCAGAATAACTGCATCTGATTCTTTTCTTTTTAAACATTAACTATTTCATTCAATAACTGTGAAAGATGCTTATAATATATAGTGCTGAGTATTCACATAAAACCAATAAGATCCAATTTCAATGAAAAATATATCTACAGTTACTCATGAGACTATATATGCACTCTGCTGCTGCTGTATACATTAGTTGGAACCAACCCACAGCTAATACTACAGTGGGTTTTCAGAGGCAATAATTGCACAGGGAGAGACTGCTCATCCTTCTCCCACAGAGCAGATGGCAGCCTCGAACCACATGCCTTCAGGATTACAATGCAGCTTCTTGCCACCAGAGCATATGTATACATGTATGTATGTGTACATGCACACATACATACATCTATAGGCACACACACACACACACACACACACACACACATTGTTGTTGTTAGGTGCTGTCGAGTTGAGTACAATCCATAACAACCCAATGAACAACAGATCTGAACCCTGTCCTATGCTATGCCATCCTCATACTTCCTGACACATCAGAGACCAGTTAATGTGTAAATCATCTGGTTGAGGGTCTTTCTCTCTTTCACTGATTCTCTACCTTTCCAAGTATAATGTCCCTCTCCAAGAAATGCCTCTCCTAGCAACATGCCCAAAACATGTGAGATTAAGCTTTATCATTGTTGTCCCAAAGGATGTATCTTCTCTGGCAGTTCCAATCCACCAGTGGCTTAGTGGGAAAAATCCTATGAGATTTAAAATTTTAGAAACCCAATGGAGGCCAGCTATGAGTTGGTTTGGACTTGTCAGCAATGAATGAGTGAGCAAAACACAGTGTAAATACATATATACCTACAAAGAGGTCAAGATGGAAATAAAAAAATTTATCACAGTTATTTCTGGGTACCAGGATAATAATGATTTATAGATCTTACTATGAAGAAAGTGCAGTACTAAGCAAGTACTATGCAGACAATAAGTTATTTAGGCTTTACAACAACTCTATAAGGGAATTACAATTATTACTCCAAATTTATACATTAGGAAACTAACACATGGAGAAGTCATACAATATATAAGCCAGTATTCAAACCCAGGTAGACTGTCTTTCGTCTGTACTCACACTGTATGGTAAATTTTATAATTTTAACCATACCAAGTAACTTACGTACATTTTATCTCTAAAAAATTGTGAACATTTTTACATAGAGATTATGATCAAGAGAAGATCACCACGAAAGAGGTCAATGGAAATGAACTTGATCTAAAATGTAGTTTTCTGTCTTCATTTTTTAAGGGTTTTTAATTAATAACTTTAGTTTGCATAATAATTACATAAGACTTACTCCTTGCAAAACAGCATATCATTCAAGATAAACGTAACTTCTATTACATTTTTACTTTCCCTCTCTAATGTTAACTATCAGTTTACTATATATGCTCCAGATTTTTCTGTCTTTGTGTGTGTGTGTGTGAGTCTATGAGGATATATCATATACATACATAAACACATACATGCTGTACAACCAGGTGAGGATAACATGATGAATGGAAGTCTGAGATTAAGTCCTTGTGCACATCAAAAACTTTTTCCAACAGGGTAAAAGGAAAACCTACTGACTGGGAAAAAACATTTCGTAATGACATTTCAGAGAAAGGTCTCATAACAAAAGTTTACAGAATACTACAGAGCCTCCATAATAAAAGACTGATAAATTACAAAATAGGCAAAAGACATAGAAAGACTTTTCAGAGAGGAAGACAGTGGGATTGTCAACAGACACATGAAGAAATGCTCAAAATCACTGGCAATCAGGGAGATGCAAATCAAAACCACAATGAGATACTGTCTCAACCCAACAGCACTGGCAAAGTTTAACATGGAAGCAAACAATAAATGCTAGAGAGGATGTGGAGAAACTGGAACGCTCATACACTGTTGGTAAGATTGTAAAATGGTATCATCACTTTAGAAGGCAGTTTGGTATTTCCTCAAAAAAGCTGAACGTAGAAATTCCATATGACCCAGCTATTCCGCTGCTAGGAATATACTTGGAGGAAAACATAACTGAGACACAAACAGAAATTTGTATACTACTGTACATAGTGGCATTATTCACAAAAAAAAGAAAATGGAAATAGTCCAAATGTCCATCAACAAATAACAAATAAATGGACTGAGAAATTGTGGTACATTCTCATGATGGAATATTACACAGCACTCAGAAGCAATGATTTCAGAAAATACTACATAACATGGGAGAGGTAAGAGAACATTATGCTGAGTGGACGCACTCAATCGCTTAAGAACAAATACTACATAAAATAATTATTGTAAAAACTGAAGGATAACTAGTAATATGTGCGTAAAAGTCCCAAGGGGGAAGAGAAGGGGACAGGAATGTTGTGAGTAGAGAGATCGGGTTATCACAAGGTCACAGTGTTTGGTGGGCAGAGGGAGTAAATGAAGGAATTAGGAAAGATCCAATGACGACCTGAAAGGGCAGGGCCATAAGTGGCATGTATCTATGATGATTGGTTTTATAAAACACAATGTCTGGGAAGGATTGTATGAAACACATTGTGAATGAAGGAATATAAAAAATACAATGTACATGAATGAAACACTAGATATATGATGTTTGTATACAAACCAATATAAAAGAAAAATATACATTCTTATTGATATGATAAGTTTTTTAAAAACTGAATTTATATATATTCACAACTAACATATATTATTTGGGCAATTTGCAAGATATAACTTTTAATTTCATTATTTAAACATAAACCTTGGTTTTCAGACCTGGAATAAGATTCAATTACCTTATCTAGGCCACATTTTCTACTTTATGAAATTGAAATAAAAGATTCCTTCCTTACTGAGTTGTTGGAAATGAAAGAGATAATATATTAAAGTACAAAGTACCATACCTGAAATCAATGAAGAAAGCTCCTTATTTTTTATTTACGGTTGTAAACTCTCTCCAAGGAATGTGCTATGGTCATCTTCTGGATTTTTCCTTCATGTTTTAAAGCTGACTGCCTGCTAAAAATGAACAAACAGAACATCCTAGAATCATAAGCTGCAGGCTTAGGATAATACATCATATAAATTTCATCCAGATAATAAAGGCAATGATTTAAAATTTAGGATCAGTTGTCCAGTTTAACCATTCATAATTTCTGTTGCCCTCTTATATTCTCATTGCTGTCAAATGGGTTCTGACGCATAGATGACTCTCCAGTGGGTTTCCAAGGCTGTAAATGTGCTTGTGAAAAGACTGCCCCTCTTGCTCCTGAAGATTAAGGAGGAGCTAGTGGATCTGAACCACCAGAGAAGTATAGCATTGAGTTAGCAGAGCAATTCTCTACATGGACTATATCACCAGAGTTCCTGCCTTCTTATATTATTCTTCATATGTTTTGTTGTTTTTATTGTATTTGGGAAAAAAGTGGGTGAGAAAGAGAGAATGATCTAAAATTAGTTTTTCTTCTGAAAATAAACAGAATCTGAAAGGATAAGTTTGTAACTGCTAATGAAGATAAATATTTTACTTTTGAGCTCTGTATTCTGTCTAATGGGAAATATAACGGGAAATTGCTAAGTATCTTTTATACAGCATAACTTTAGCATGTTGTTGTTGCTGCTGTTATGTGCTATTGAGTTGCTTGCAACTCATAGTGACCCTATGTACAACAGGTCTGAAACTTGTTCTATCCTGAGCCAACATTTTTGTCTCTGACACATCTACCCCCATTATCCTAGTCACTCAATCAGTCAATCTCATCCAGGATCTTCCTCTCTTGTGCTATTCCTCCATCCTCCCAAGCATGACTGTCTCCTCCTTGCAACTTGCCCAAAGTATGTCAGATGGCGCTTCAGAATCCTTGCCTCCAGAAGCAGCCTGGTTTCATAGGCATTGATAAATCACATTGGGACTAAAACCATGCTTTAGGCACATGTTAAGAGTGAAATTATTTTATCAAAATTCTTTAAGAACTTCTATAATAAGTAGCTTTTGGGGAAGTTACAATTCATACTTCACAATATTGTAGAAATATTTTCCTAGCAGTCCATGGTCCCCTCAATACTCTTCTCCAGCACCACAGCTCAAAGGCATAAATTCTCCTTCTATCCTCCTTAGTCACTGTCCAACTCTCTGATGCATAACAAGTGATAGCACAGACCATGGCCTGTATCAGACACACCTTAGTCTCCAGAGAGACACCAATGCTCTTCAGAACTTTAGAGAGGTCCCTAATAGCAGACTTTCCCATGGCAATGCGCCTTTTAATTTCCCGGCTACTGGTGCTGAGAATGTTGACTGTGGAGCCAAGCAAACTAAAGCTGTGAACAATCTCAATCTCTTCACCATCCATCCTAATGCTGCCAATTGGTCCAGTGGTGAGAA